TCCTTCCTTCCTTCCTTCCTTCCTTCCTTCCTTCCTTCCTTCCTTCCCTTCCTCCCTCCCTCCTTCCTTCCTTCCATCCATCCATCCATCAATACGTATTGAGTGCCATCTATGAGTGTCAGACAAAAAGAAACATATTCGATTTACAAAGCAGTGGTCGGGAGCTAGAGGAATCAGAAGCCAGAGGAGCTGGAGAGGGGCTGAGGTTCAAGTTCACTAGACCAGCACAGGGTAAACTGATAGAGCAGGAAAAGGCGGGGCCTAAAGGTACAGAGCACAGGTTAACCCAGGCTCACAGGCTATTTGCTCACCTGCCAAGTACCACCTACTTCACAGTGGGGATTTAAAGAATAATTTTTCTTTCTCAAACTTGCTCATCATGACCACTTTGGCCTGGATTTTCTTTAACAGTAGATGTAAAATATTATAGTTATTGTAAGAAAGAGCATAGGCTTTGAAACCAGAAATATCTAAGAACTGTAGCTCCCCGCTTACCGGCCATTTAAACACTCTGATTATTGGTTTTCTCATCTGTAAAAGAGGTTATAATTCTTGTCTTAAGCTGTGGTGAGAATTAAATAATATATACTAAGCACATAGTACCCCCTTCTCTTTCATCCGCTTTAATTTCCTGAATTGTGTCTCCTTAGAGAGAAAGATAATTAAACAATAATCAATCACAAAGCAATCTTAATACTGTAAACCTCAGATCAATAGAATTTTTTCTTGAATTACATAATCCGGTTTGTTTGTTTCTAACAAATTATTTACTTTGGGATCTATGTGAGGCAAATCAAATATTTCTGCTTGGGAATAGCTACTTTTGAAACTTTATGAGTCATTTTCATGACAAAATCATGTGGGTTTCCTTGTCAAATTTCCTGAAAATATCTGGTATTTTAACACCCTGAGCTCTTCCCCTACCCAAACAAGATATTTAATTAGTATTTGCTAAGAAGGAGCACACGTCAGAGCATGTTCTTAGCGGTTACAGGAGCGTCCACCTTCCTATGGGCAGAGAGAAGTGGATTCATAAGCCCTCTGATTCCTCAGACGATTCTGAGAAGGGAATTCCATTGGCTAAGGCAGCTAATTGAGGAACTCAAGATAGGGCTCAGAGTGATCAGGTGTGCTCTGATCCACCTGGAAATTCTTTCTGAATGAGACACCTAAGTCAGTAGGTTTGCTTGCTGAGCCATATTGCTGGCTTTGTGTAGATCTGATTTTCAGAAAAATACAGAAGAGAAGATATACAGGTTATTTTTTCATTAGGTTATATTGTAATGTGACATTTGATATCTAGCTAATTATGTGAATGTTGCCTTTTATAGTTCAATTCAAAGGGTTCTGTCCAATATTCATTTACAAGAGGAAACCACAGTTTGAGCAGGTCAAATAAATTTGTCTGAGATTACACAGTTACTGTCAGAGCTGAGATGACAACTCAGGCTTCTTATGATTTAGTATATAAAATAATTCATCTATTGAGATAATCTGGTTAGTAAATGTGCAGAAAAAAATGATTAAGATCCCAATCAGTGGATTTATACAAGAGCAGTGTACATATAAAATAAATGATAGTAGTAGCTCTGTTAAAATAAAAAAAGATTTCAGAAAGAGAAGGAAAGGATGATTTTGGTGCATTTCAAAGCATCATCTTTCATTTTTATATATACACATTTCACTTATTATAATTTAACCAGCTTTTGTGGGTTTATGGAGAACTATGATAATAGATTAAATTGTGGTACATGTATCCACATAAGACTTTAAAACGGCTCTTGATTTGTCTGCATCCTTTATTAGAATAATTGCTAATCTTGACCCTGTGTTCTGAAATTTCATAGTTTTCAATCCTAATCATTGAAAAAGTCAAATAACAGTATGTATACATAATCACACGCACAAAAAACCCGGTATTGTGTTCACATGGACAATTAAGAAAATGTTCATATAGAGAAAATATTTTCACAGGAAATATATCAACACATATAGTAAGCAGTTCCCCCTTATCCACAGGGGATATGTTCTAAGAACCCCAGTGCGTGACTGAAAACCCATTTTTTCCCCTATTTGTACATATCTATGATAAAGTTTAATTTATAAATCAGGCACAGTAAGAAATTAACAACAATAACTAATAATAAAATAGAACAACATAACAAAAACCTGTAATAAAAGTTATGTGAATGTAGTCTCTCTCACTCTCCCAAGCTCTCAGAGTAACTTATTGTACTCTACACACATTTTCACTTAAAAAAAAAAAAACAAAAAACACTTCACGGCTTCTATTTGGAATGTCCAAGTTGCCGGCATCACCAGTCTTGTGCTTTGGGGCCATCGTTAAGGAGAACAATGGTCACTTGGATACAAGCGCTGTGATATCTTGACAGTTGATTTAATAACTGAGATGGCTACTAAGTGACTAATTGGGGGGTGGGGTGGGGACACACACAGCTCAGCTAGGGCCGGACAAAGAAATGGTTCCTGTCCCAGGCGGGACTGAGCGGGATGGCACGAGATTTCATCACGCTACTCAGAACGGCATGCAATTTAAAACTTATGAATTATTTATTTCTAGAATTTTCCATTTAATATTTTCAGAGCATGGTTGGCAGCGATGCACTGAAACTGCAGAAAGCTAACCTGTGGATAAGGGGGGACCACTGTATCGAATTTTGAGATTTGACTACAAAATAGTAGAAATGTTGTTTTTTAAGGAAGAATTATAGTATTCCCACTAATAGTGCTCTGAAAGTACTATATATAATATTACCTACCTGCTTTTTTGAGAGATTTGTTCCAGTTTCTTGGCTAACGTACAGCACTCTTCCTTTAATTTTGTCAAAAATGTATTCTGGGAGGTCAGCAATGAATACTGTTCATTTTCTAGAAATAACGATAAACCCCCCACCAACATAAAATGTTTATGGTTGTAACTCTGCAGTGCTTCCATATGCAGAATGGTAAAGCACTAAGACAGCTACACATTTCCCAGAAGCCACTAGATCACTGTCAATATCCTAAGTCAAAGGGCTGCTCACCCGGCAGGACACTGAATCTTGTGAGACATTTGTTTTTCTGATGATTACACAGCAGAAACATTTTTTGATCATACCAGCTTGGTGTAATGTTTTAGCATGTTAATAGATTGTCAAATACCTCGAGCGGAGTTATAGATGCGTATATCTTTGTAATATGCAAGATATTATATTTTTATTTTGACAATTTTACTATAAACACTGTCAAAAATGACTACAACCAGATAATTCAGAACTAAAATAATCGAGGAACTCTCTTCTACAGTGTAGCTCATGCTCTGTGCTTCGTATTCGCTCACATAATTTCATTACCTCCCACCTTACATATACTCCTCGAATTATGAAGGTGAAATACGTAATTTGATTTCATTGTCAACAGTATGAGCTTCAGTGAAGATCTGGTTAAAGAAATTGAACAGAATGTGGTATTTTTATGCAACATAAAGGGAAGTGTTGTTAAGGGGATTCTAGCCGGCAAATACTCCCGTCTTGCCCAAAGATTCTGCCCAGCTCCGTGATCACTAGGAGCCTGCTAGCAGCGGTGGGAAACGATAGTTTATCCTATAATTTCCCCCTTTTGTTTTCAGTGGAGAAACATCTACTGAATCTGATGGATTTTCATTTCTTCTAGTCAAACACTGTTAGAAAAAAGTCTCCACTAAAAGTATTGGAGGGAATTACATGAGTCAATATGACCTTTGCCTAAGTAAAGAGATTATTTAATAAACTTTACATTAGCAATTTTTCACCTATAGCGTAAGTGACAATTTTTTACCATGTCATCAAATATGGTATGCATTAAATCATGTGAAAATTATCTTTAAGTTTAATAAGGTCCTTAATTTCTTTTCAATTTTAGCTCAGGATTGGCAAAAAGCATATAGCATACAAAGCAAAATAAATCAAGGCACTAAAAAATTAAGCAACATCTTTCTGGAAGAGACAGGATCAATTAAACTTTTGTTTTAATAGTACAATCAGCGTGGAGTATGTGGTGTGGAATTATAATGAGTGACACTGTCTTGTTTTGACTAACACTGTCTGTGAACACACAACTCAAAAGTGAAAAGAACTACATAATGCTTCGACTGAACAAATCAAACTGCCTATTTTCAAAGTGCATTTTACTTTCAAATTAAAGGTAAAGAGTTACTGGCCAACTCGGTCTGCAGAATAGCGCCAATGTGATGAAAGATAGCAATTTTTAGCCAAGCTGCCAGCTGTGGTCAATGCCTTGTATTAGTGAAATTTAACAGCAGTTGTGAGAACTTGAAGAATGCAAAGGATTAAACATCACTCTAGATTGGGTTGGGGGAGGTGGGGAAATCATACAAATGCTAAAAATGTTCGAAGCTGCAAAGATTAAATAAAGGAACATATCAATTTGGAGCCACTGAATTACATCCAGCTGCGACAGTGAATTAAGAACCGATTAATGGCTAAAGCTTTTCTCCAGTTTGGATGCTGAAGCAAACTCATTAGGCTTTTAGAGTAGCTATAATGTGTGTACTGTGGGAACTGTTCAATGCTATTCAGGAGACTCTAACTGTAAGCTCAGAGCATTTCCCGCAGAGCTTCTGATGCTATTTTCTTTATATAACATGTGTGCCTGAAAACCCAGCCAAAAACAAGCCCTTTGTTTTTCTACTTTGTTGTGGTCTCTCTCAGCTTTACGTTTCTTGAACACAGGTAAATAAACTCATAATCCAGATGGTGCAACAGATGTGAGAGCAGCACTCTGAAATCAACAGACAGTGGGCAATACTTTCCATTTTCTCTTTTAAACGCTAACTAATATGTAATTCGGAACCTCCGGTGTAGTTAGCATCTGCTCCCTTCGGCCAGCCAAAGGTTACAGGTGTTCCTGATGTCATTTCGCAGTGAGGCGTGGGCCTGGCTTGTGAGCGAGTGCCCAGGCTCTAATCTTTCCCCACCACCTACCAGTTTCGTCATGCTGGGCCTCCATTTGCTGTATCTTCTGTGTCAGCTCCTGCTCTCTCTGCTGGGCCTGAAGGGCTTGGGCCTTTGCTTTGTTGCTAAAGCTCTGCTGAATGCTCTCTTTTTCCAGTCTACAAAGCAGAGAGGAGACAGACAGACATTTATTTAACCTACAGATGCGTGAGCCCCCGTCACTTCTCCGACAGAAGACAGAGAGCTGAGACGTAATAAACTGTTCAACATAAGAAGACTATGCTCTTTCTGCCGCCCCCGCCCCCCTCAGGGGGAAAATCCAAGGGGACCAGTCACACAGTGTTAAACACGCCCCGTGAACCCAAATAGGCTACGCGTGCAACTTTAAAAATCAAAATGTCGTGGCGACTGAGAAATGGTATTTTGTGACTTTAAAAGACAAATACTTTTCTCTAGAATGTTCTTAATGTTTTGTGCCATCAATGTCTTTCATCTTCTGAACGGTTAATATTTCCCGAAGGTCCTGGAGTTATAGGAATAGCATCGCTCAATATAACAAAACTTAAATTCTGGAAACTAAGCTTTGTAGACACCCCTACTTTGACTCCCAATGGAATCTCAAACATAATGTAGGAGATTCTATCTAGGGGTAAGGACAGGATTCTGTGGTGCCACATGCATGTTTTCGTTAAATATTTTCACACATTAGGCCATGTAATATGAATATATAAATATGAATATGAATAACTTCCTGCAGCACTTCATAATAAACCCTTTTTGGGTCATGTTGAGAAAAATCGCAGAATGAGAAGCTTTCATAAAGACAATAGCCCATCCCACTGTGATTGGATACTGACCCATCCCATTGGGACCCAATTGGATATTGACCCATCTCATTGGGACCTAATCACAGTGGCTCCTAAAAAGAGGAGCCTCCTGAACAATTAGAACTCGAAGGATGCGAAGGACCTCAAGGCTGGCAGCGCTGCAGGTACTGACACTGCATGCGCACACGCATGCACACAGGCACGCACGCACACGCACACGCACACACTAGGCTGGTTCCTCAGACTCTACATATGGGTAAGTGATATGAGGGTTTCCTTCAATTAACTGACTTAGTTGTTTCTCACTCTTGATCTCCTTGTGGGCATTTCTCATCCATGCTGCTTTAGTTTACTAATCGACATACTCACTGCCTTGCCTTTGCCAAACTGAAAATAAACAATTCCATAAAGCTAGCGCTCCTAGTGTATGTACCGCTGTGGAACTTCGATTCACTGGTTTCTAATTATAAAGCAACATAAGGAAAGATTGTATTGAAATTGGTCAATGCACGTGGTAATGTGATGTAAAATTCCGGAATGAAAATACACCGACGCCTCGCTCAAGTGGAATCATCGGGGGTCTGCGCTAAACTTGAGAAGGTCCCCTCTGGTTCTTCTAATAGCGACACCCCCTCGGACTTGCTCCAAGGTCTGGCCGCGCACTCAGTTCCAAACTGATACGTCGCGCTGGACGGACAGTCACACTAGCCCGCTTTTTGCCTCCGCAGTCACACCGCGTATTTTCTGGCCATGGATCACCGCACAGGTCTCTTTGTCTTCCTGGGATGTCTCCCCGACTCGCAGCCCCGTCACTCCCCACCCCAGCCCCTGTGCCCCTGCGCGGCGCACACCGCCCCTTTAAGGACTGCTGGAAACCTCCCCCCGCCTTCCATTCTTTCCTAAATTAACTATTCTTTCCTCAGGGACCTCAGTAAATGTTGTGTACACACGCATCCTACTGAGACAGCATTTATCGCACTTTAGTTATTGGTTTACATGTCCGCCTCCTTTGTCATCTTTGCCCCTCTATACCCTGAGCCCAGCTCGGTACTCGGCTCATAGGAAGCAGGCAGTGAGTGTTTAATGCAGATGTTCTTACACCGTCGCCTGGGGGAAGGGCGGCTGTGGTCTTTAAGTGAAGCTGGAGAATCTGCTCGAGTCTTACATGAGAAGAGTGCTCGGAAGAGATGGCTCTGATGGCTTCACCAGCTGCAGACGAAGCTGCCGTAGGAGTCAGCCTAAAAAGAGCGTGGTGAACTCTTTCCAAGTCAGACCTCAAGTTAGAGCCGGGGATGCAGATAGGGAGGCCTGGGTCTCTGGGATCTCTAACAACTGGGTAACCACAAAATGCATTGTTCAAAACCAACACCCACTTGACAGTGAAAAGGGGCATGATTAATAATTATAGAGAGACAACGTCCTAACTGGGATTATCCTTTGTGAACTGGGTTTATGGTTCACCTACATAAAGGGGTTGCCGGTCTCATCATCAATTTTGACAATGAGCAGCTGCCTAATTACTGATATCCTAAATTTACTCTAGAAAAAGAACTACGGTGATTGTGACTCTCCTAATAAAGTAAAACAATTTAAAATGATGCTCTATAAACAAATGTTGAGTTTACACATCAACTTTTTTTTCTTGCATCGTCCTCCCCCTTCCTCCAATGTTGCTTTCTTCCCTTGCAGGTTCTTTCTGAATCAGCAGGCTTTTTACAAAACCTTAGAAGGTTAGAACTGAAAGGGAATCTCAAATTTGTCAATCAAATCCTCTCACATTATAGCTGGAAAAAAAAGAGAGTCATAAAGAATTAGAAATCTGCTCAAAGATTATGTTGTAAGCGATGTAAAGGCACAGGTGGCATTTGAAATATTTTGATTTAGGAAAATCTATTTTACAACAATCTAGAGGTATGCAATAACGGACTGGAAGAATTAATAACCATTTAGGTATCCAAGGAAGGGATTAGAGAAAAATCTTAATCAATCCATTTAACATGTATTATAACTCTATTATTTGAAAGACACTCTGCTAGGCACTGGGTCAAATAAAGATAAATACGGCATAATCCTTGCCCCAAAAGAGAATTCAAAATGGCTAAAATAGAAGGTAGAAGGGAAAATACACCACAAGCAAAGTACAAGGGAAATAACTACCTACGCATAGAAAACCGAGAAGTTAACTCCAGGTGTGTGAAAGCTTCATGAAGAAAAGCTGAGCCAGTCTGCCCAACTGGCTTTCGTTCAGTTCTCACCCGAAACATTGATGACCTCATTTAACCAGGCTTGTGATTAGCTGTATTTTACAAATCGAAACAAAACCAATGGTGGTAAATTATTTCTTGTTCGTTATTAAAATGAGACTGACAGATTTATTATTAACGGCTAAGAACTGGAAGCAACCTAAATGTCCATTGACTGCTAAATGGGTAAACAAATTGTGGGACAGACTTACCATGGAATACTGGCAAGAGAAGCAATAAAAAGGAACAAACTATACAGTTACGTACAACACATGGATGAACCTCAAAAGCATATGCTTAAAGAAGCCAGGCACCAAAGACATATTTTATGATTTCATTTATGTGACATTCTAGAAAAGGAAACACTGGAGTGACGGGTCAGCATCGCCAGGACCTGGAGGTCGGGAACAGGCACGAGGGAACGTTTTGTGTTGATGGAAATGTTCTAGATCATGATTATGATGGTTCCATAACTGCGTATGTTTGTCAAAATACACTTAATTGCACACTTAAAATTGTTGATTTCTATGATATTTAAATGTATCTCAAAAGAGCTGATTTTTAAAAAGAGCAAATACACTAGAATAGGAACATCCACCTTTTCGTCCAAGTTATCAACATCCCCTGTGATCACACATGTACGTGTAGGATATGACAGTGTTTTTTGATAACAATTAAAAATTAAAATGAGTGAACAAGTACTGGATAGGCCTCAGACTTGGGCTAAGTATACACAGAGGTTCATACTTAGTCCTTATACTAACTCCTTTTTTCGAATTATAGTACTGGTTCACTTTATTTTCTAAAAATGTCTGCAATATTTATCATCCCACTAAAAACATGGGACTGGAGAATTAACTTTATACTTCCGATCCTCAACTTTTATATATCATTTATTATTCTAAATCTTGCTCTTTAAAAATATGCTGAATATTTTTAAATCGACTTAATGAAAATATTCTTTAAAAGTACATTTAAAATTTTACAGTTATATTAAAGACGAAAAATTTCTGATGACCCAAAGTTCATCACTGAGTCTGGGACAGAAATGATGAAAGCCTCAAGTCTGAGAACAAGGACGTGGCAGTGGTGGCGATTTGAGGCACCAATTCCATCTGCCATGATTCTATTCACTTTTTACTGACTGAAGTTCTAATATTGGACTTGCAATCCTTTTGGTTAAAAGATGTTTCTCTTTTGAAGTACAATATAGAGAGCTTTGTGACAGTAGCACACGGATATGACAAAACTTCTGAGACCATTTGTAACATACTTATTATCTGAGAACCATTCTTGATAGAATTACAGGGAGAAGTAGCAGAGAGGTGTGGGGTGCTATTGTGAGTTCAGGCACATGATGGCCACGTGTCTCAGTACTGGCGAGATTACTGACCTTTGACCACGTGGTCAACACCAGTGGTGTGCTGGGAAATATTTAATAATGTGTCTCCGGGTGGGGAAATCCCTCGTTTACAGTATTTACCAATTTTTAGTGTAAATACTTCTACCATGGCTGGTTTCAGGATACCAAAACAATAAAACTGAATACAGAGTTGAGACAAAAGGCACAGAATCAGCTTTCATGAGCCGGTGTGTCACCGTAGGTAGCTTCTCCACTGTAAAGTTACTACATCCCTGTCCGTAATTATGTAACAGGTAATTTGTTGGGAGATGCTAAGACCATGTAAATATCCTATTTCTCATCAAACTCTCACTACGAGTTTTATATCCAG